TGATGGCATGTAAATTTGTCGTTCACAGAAAATCATTTGTGTCGCAGCATAAATTCACAAGTTACAAATGAAGCACTGGAAAGACTTTCAGATGTTGAGAATTCTCAAACACTGCGATTCAGTTGAATGAGTTTATGTAATTGAACGAACAGAGCAAATCAATGGTCATGTGAAAACCTTGATATTTTTTGTAAAAATGAATCCTTTTCCTTTCGTTTCCGGGATGTTCAAGACCAGATCCAACTGATCGACAACAACCGGTGAGGTGATCCTCTGCATGGTTGATGGCTTAAGCAGTTTGCCTGATGTGACCAACGAATGCAGTTTGGCCAGTGCTCGCGCTGTACTCATGCCGGTTGCCGAGGGCATTTCCAGGCTCCGAAAATCTGGATTGTTCAGAAGTAAAACGTTCTGAAATTCAGTCTGAAAATATTCGAAATTTTGCTAAACCATTCAAAAATTAACCCTCTCGTCTTCACTTCAATGCCATCCATAAGATTTGTAAGTGTTTCATATACGATATTCTTAAAGCAATCTTATCAAAACTATTTAGGACTTCTTGGTGAGCAATTTAAGACAAAAACTCTAATAGNCAGTGTCTCAAACTGAGTGAAATTCGATAGCGGATATCACGAATTTGTAATGAAATTTTAATATCTATTGGTTTTTTGTCATTATTTCGTTCTAGCAAAGTACATTCAATTTTATGTCACTCGATAATATTAATGAAAGACGTTGAAAAAAATTACATTTCCCAACCAAGCCACATTGTGTGCAACTTTACTCAATAAGTTATAGCTGTACGTTTGAGCGGCGATTAAGTTCCAAACCATCCTCAGTATAATTGGATATTGTACTATTTCTCGTAGAGCCGTGATCTTATTGGATGCAGACAATCGTGCTATGCGATGCTCGAGTTCGGCTCCGGCACCGATCACTAACTCAATATCTAGAAATGTGAAATTTATACCTGATTGAGGTTATTGAACTCTTAAGATATACTTACAAATATGGATGCATCACAGACCATTCACATGATATGTACAATTTTTGGAAGGTTTCATAATGTCATTGAGGATTTCTCAAATTGTAAAGGAGATCAGTTCAAAATCATCCTGGTAGGATGATTATAACCGTGTGTACATGAACTTATCAGATTCCCTACGACTGATATACCAGGGTTGATAAAACATTCCAGTACCACACACCATGACTGTTAACAAGTAGAAATCTATTCAATACAACAAAAACAATACAAATCATGATAAGCATTCAACAATTGTATGTGTTCAGAGGACACATACAACAGAATTTTGAGCAATTTGCATTGTTCAGCTAGATGAGTTATCGTTGAGCTCTAAGGTAAAAACTTCAGAAAATGAATTTCACTTTAAAATATTCTTTTGGCGCAAAAAAAACGATTTTGCAATGAGATTGACCGTATGGTATGGCGATTTCTTCCTTGAAAAACGTCGATAGCGACCGCTTCTTTGGATCAATTCGTCTCACCAACTGATCATACAACCAGCCGATTGTCATCGCATGATAGCCAACACATTCTCCGGGTGTCCAATTCGGTTTCTGTTGTTCAAATAATTTCGACATCCTCGTCCAATCCTTCACGTCGGCTTCTTCGATTTTTCCATCGACGAACGCTAATCCTGCCTTTAAAATACCGAAAAGTACACCAGAAATCAGTTGATTTTCTAATCCAAATTCTTCATGCTGTTCCTCTTTCGAAATCAAATTGTTGAGAAAAAAACATAGGAAAACGCCATAGTAATGAAATTTTCCGCACTTCGATGAATCTTCGGACAGAGAAGTCCCAAAAGTGCAGCAATCACACAAAGAAAGATCTATTTGTTAAATGAGTAAAGCAGCTGAAAACAGGTGAAAACTTAAAAATTTTCAGGGTGAAATTCAATCCATAGGCTGTGAATTAGTTTTCTTAATCGGGCAAGCAATTTATAGTTTTATTTGTGAAACAAACGAGAGGAAACTACCTACCTGATGGGCAAGCAGTTGATCAATAGTGATGGTTTCCTTGCCATTTTGTCCGAATTCTGGCCAATACTTCGTAACAAGATCTTCGTATTTCACCAGTCCTCGATCAACCAAAAGTGCGAAACATATCGCACAAACACTCTGCAATATTAACTCAAGCATCACGAATGTTAGCGACTTCAAATCACATCAGTAGGAAAACACCAAATTCTATCAGCATTCATTCATCAATGCAACTTTATTGGTTTCATTAGCATCTTGACTGATTCAGGCATTGATCACTTA